CTGTCAAGGTCTGCTGAGGTTCCTACCACTTCCATGGTAGCTGTCCTCAGCACCTTCTGCCGGTTCCCTCTTTCTATGACTGTTAAATGTTGGAGTATCTCAGATAGTTGCTGTAGAGATTCTTGTTTCCATTTTTCACACTGTGTCTTTTGGCAAATTCATTCACTCATAACTTGAATTTTCACACAATCCAGTCATCTGCTGTTGTCTTTCAGACTGATCATCTCCAACCACGAACTGTCTAACTTGATGCCTCCATTGTAGGCTTGTCAGGAGCCTCTAACCTAGTGTGCTAAAACTGAACCCCAGGCTTCCTTTAGCCACAAGGTCTTCTATTCCTCCTATACTCCCTACTTCACTAAAATCTCACTACCTACCCAGGTGACTAGGGCTACTCTTTTCTCCTTACTTGTCCAGGTTTTTTTTTTTTTTTTCTATCACATAGAGTTGTGTCAGCCCTGTTTTCCTGCCCCATGCTTTCAGCATCTTTTGTCTGGGGCATAAAAATGGCTTACCAGGGGTCTGTGGAATGATTTGCCTGCCATCTTTAAACCCCCAGAATAACTCTGTGGAAAATGAATATCCAATTCATTGTCATATCCTTGAGTAAAATTTACCAACTTACCTCATTGTCCTCAGAACAGAGTCTCAGTCTTGAAGCCTGTGAAAAGGTTGTACCTAATCTAGCACTGGTTTATCTATTTCTTTCCTTCATTCATTTGGAAAGAAGTCTCAGAAGTTGTTGCATGTTGGAAGATAGGCTTTGCTTGACTCTTAACATAAGATTAAATAAATCTATATTCACAGACATTTTATCTTTTACTTTTGGTAGCTCCAACAAACTTACAATTGTGTGAAGACTATTCATAACACCTTTGTGTTCCAGGAAAGCAGGAATCACATCTCTCTTGTTCACTCTTCTGTCCTCAGCACCTGGCAGTAATGGAGTGCGTAAAGAATATTAAGTGAATAGTGGATAAGTGAATATGATCAGATCCTGCAACTGCATCTCAACCTTTCAATGCAGCACAATATTCTATGCCTTCCACAGTCATACAATGTGGTCCATGTATTGATGTTTACATATTGTAGCAAGCTATTGCACACAGTATCCAAAGGGAATAGAATCATGTCTCATTCTGCTGCTTTTATATGCAACATACAAAGTTTAAAGCTATACAAAGAATCTTCAGGAAACTGTATCACTAAAGACTATGTTATTTGCATAACTTCCTCCTTTTAAGCCAAGTAAGTGAATGCTTATAAAGTGTTCCTTTGTTTCATAATTTCAAACAAATATTTTAATAGTACTGTCTGAGATTGATTCAGATATGAGAAAATTTGACCTAAGCAATCAATATTGAGACAAAGAATTCATTCTCCTTTACTCATTTATTATGTCATCTTTATTAATTTTTGAACTTTTAAAAATAATATATATGAGTATAAAAACATGTAAAGCAAACTTCTCTCTTAAGATAATCAAAGTTGACAGTCAGTTGTACATCTTTACCAACTATTTCTAGTTTCTATAGAACTACGTAAAATCATATATATATATGTATATATATGTCACATTTCATAATCTACAGTCTCTGAAAATTAGTCTTCAAATAATAATTATAAGCACTTTTCCAGGTGAGTTTTTCAAATATACTATTAAAATATGTTATTTTCCAAAAAAATATTATTTTCCATAATAATGACAGTTTATTGAACCCTATTCTGATTAAAAGGCATTCGTATCAATTCCAAGGTATTGTTACTTAAAGCAATACTGCAATACATGTACAAGTATACTTTGTCAATGATGTTTTTATTTCTAGAGGAGATAGTCTCAAAGCAGAATAACTGAGTAAAAGTACATGTGCATCTGTGTTGTACGTTCTTTCTTCTTTTTTTCTTTTTGCTATTTTATGCATATGAATCTACTGCCTGCATGTATATAAGTGCACCCATGCTGTGCAGATCCCACAGAAGTCAGAAGAGGGTGTCAGATCCCCTGGAACTAGAGTTATGGACAGTTGTTAGCTACCATGTAAGTTCTAGGAATCGAACCCAGGGCCTCAGCAAGAGCAGTCAGTGCTCTTAACCACTAAGCTGTCTCTCCAGCCCCATGTGTATAATTTTTACTTTAATAGCTATTGCTTATTTCCAACCAATTGTACAGTTGCCCCCATTACCCTCATATCACCATCACTGTGCACTGTGCCTCTTGGCCCTGTGAACGTCAGTAGCACTTTCCTTCTAGTGTCAGGGTCAAGTGTCCCCTTGTAGGAATTGCTGTAGTATGCTCTTTTTTCTTTTACTCTAAGATTTTTTTTTCCTTGTTCTAGGTGGTACTTGATTTACTCCTCCATGACAAATACTCATGGTCTAGTATTAATTCTTAAAGATTTATTTATATTTATGTATATATCTATATGCATATATATATATATGCACCATGAGTGTGCCTGATACCCACAGAGTCCAGAAGAGAGCTTTAGATCCACTAGACCTGGAGTTACAGACAGTTATGAGCCACCATGTGGGTGCTGGGAACAAACCTAAGAGCAGCATATGTTCCTAATTACAGAATCAGCTCTCCAGCTCGTCATGGTCTATTCTTAATAAGCTGCATTGGAAGAGCAAAAACCTAAATCGCTCTTAATGCATATATATATGTATATACATATATATGATAGGTTAAAAACCTAAGTAGATCTCTCTCTCTCTCTCT